CCCTTGCTGTGCTCTTGTGTAGCTCCCTCTGCACACTGCGCATGCTCAGTGAGGAGGGGGAGGAGGGGTAGGGGGGGGGTCTGCTCCATCCGGGAACTTCAGAATCACCATTGACAGCCGAAGCGCAACTTTTCCCCAGGCAAAGTGAAATCAAGCCGCGGACTCGGACAAAATATAGTCCCCGGTTTTTAACTTAAAATTAGCGGAAAAAAAGCGACGCGGCGTCGCGTTCGAACCCGTCCACGTTCGGCTGGGTTCACCGGAGCGGCCTGGCGGGATCCGGGAGTCCTTTCTGTCGGGTTTGGAGCACTTTTGAAGCCGGGCGGAAAGTGGGGGGTGATGAGTCCTAGGCTGTGAAGAAAAAAAAAAAGCGAGAACTTGTTCTGCGAGCTTCTTTCAATTGTTGTCGCTTGAAAAAACCTCTTTAATTGACGGAAACTTGGTGTCGGCCGCGTCGGAAGTGGAGAAAAGTGCTTTCCTGGGCGGAACATGGAACTACAAGGCCTGCAAGAGGCGCTGAAAGTGGAGATCCAATGTCATCAGGTAAGAGACAACATCGTGTTGTTTGGTTGTTTGAGAGCGCGGGGACGCGAGCCGAACCGAGCCGAACCGAGGCGAACGCTCCGAGGGGGGGAACTACGCGACAAGTGCCGGGATTAAAAGGCACTTTCCTGGGTAGTTTCTGGCCCGAGTGTCGAGCCTRGTTTTTCCCGGGGAGTGTGGAAGTGTTGATGCGGTGCGTGGCGAGCCGGACGCGAGCTGAATATTTATGAGCTGCTCGCGAACTGAGGCCGCTTTTGTTCCGTTTAAAAACAAAACAAACAAAAAAAAAAACTTGTCTGACTTTGTTTCCCCTTCCTCCTCTCCTCCAGGGTTCACAAAGCAAGGCTGCCGGGCCGGGCAGGAGCTGCCGGCAGCTCCTGCCCGGCCCGGCAGCCTTGCAAACTTTATCAGCTGAAATCTGTTAACATCACCAGCTAGCATTAGCATGGCTGCTAACTTTCTCGCACTTTCTCTCCCCTCAACTTCCACCAAACATGACACACTTTAAAGCCTTTTTAAAAATCATTTAATAATTTAATCACAACCCGCTGCTCCGGTCTGGGTTTATTTTTAGGCCCAAATCTCCGAGTTCCCATTCATCTGTGAAAGTTGGGAAGATTTTAGCGTCCATTTTGAGTGGCTCGACTTGTTTCTGGAGACTAAAAAAAAAAACGACATTCCAGTTCACTTTTTTATTTTATATTATTTTAAATTAAACCTTTACATTTTATAGTGTGTTTAAATCACATTTTTAGTTGTATTTTTTTTTACACTTGAAGCTCATTAACCAGCTCTGGTTTTGTTACTTTACACTTCTTTTTTTTTTTAGTCTGCTGGTATTATTTCTTCTCGGTCACGTGACCGCGGCGGAGCGATCTGATTGGCTGTTTTCACTTTCCTCCTTTCTTCTTCTTATTCCCTTTTTTTATATATATTTTAATTTTTTATTTTCACGGTGATAAGTTGGCTGTAGCCGGGGAGGAGGCAGAGGCAGGGCGGATGCTGAGAGCGAGGCAGAGCCGCTGGAGGGTTCAGCACCGCGGACAGCTCCTCCGGGCTGCACCGCCCCTCCGGTCGGTCCCAGATAACTTCCACACATTTCTACAAAAGCATCATTGTTAAAAAACGGCTCACACTTCCGGCCGCACTTAATACTAACTTATTATATATAACATTAGGTTTAATGTTGTCATTTTAAAGTTAATGATGGGTGAAAGAGGAGGCTCTGCAGGTCCTTGTTTGTATTTTCTTGTCTCAGTTTGGTAGTGGAAGCTTCCATTTTGAGAGGAAAAAAGGGGGGTGGATTCTCCCCCCTTTTCTCCAACATGGAGAGGAGAAAAGTCTGCAGAGTTTAATGCAGGAGGAGGAGGAGGAGGGGGATGGGCCCCATTCATGCCGAACATTACCATTTTGATTGCTTTGATGCTGGTTTTGGTTCGGATGGATGCAGGGGGGGGAGGGGAGGCAGAAAGCCCAGTCAGCACTGGCTGCACACCGAGCTGTTYTTTTTTTCTTYTTTACTTTTCTCTCTGCTTCTCCTCTGAACAAAACAAGCATGTGAGCTGATCCCAGCAGAGACTCAGCAGCTCCTGCTGGCTGACATTCAGRTGTTTGCAGGGAGAAGCTCAGTCATGATGCTTTCTGCAGCTAAAACACTAAAAACCACGCTCCGTGCACGACCTGTGCACGCTCAGATTGTTGCCTTCAGCTGCAGCAATACAAAAAAACATTCAGCTTTTTATTAATGTTTTAATTTATTAATCATTTACTCTTTATTCTCCAATCTGACATAAAAAACAAATGTGAACTTTTTAACAAACATTTTAATAATAAAAGTCAGGTTTCAGTTATCTGAAGTGTTCCTCTGTTAGCAAAACATCTCATGAGGCACTGGGTGGAGCTTTAATGAAACTCAGTAATTATTGACTGTCAGAGTTAACCTGGTTTCAAGATGGCCGCCACAGCTAATGGACCTCAGTCTGCACGAAAACTCTGAGAGTCGTCCTCAGCGCACGCTCTGAGCTCTGCTGCTCATCTAAACGGGTCAGAACATTTCAGGGACATTTACAAAAACTTTGAGAAGAAAAGAAACAAATTAGGTTCTGTGGACCTGTGCAGGTTCTGTGGACCCCTGCAGGTTCTGTGGACCTCTGCAGGTTCTGTGGACGGCTGCAGGTTCTGTGGACCTCTGCAGGTTCTGTGGACGGCTGCAGGTTCTGTGGACGGCTGCAGGTTCTGTGGACGGCTGCAGGTTCTGTGGACGGCTGCAGGTTCTGTGGACCTGTGCAGGTTCTGTGGACCTGTGCAGGTTCTGTGGACAGCTGCAGGTTCTGTGGACAGCTGCAGGTTCTGTGGACCTGTGCAGGTTCTGTGGACAGCTGCAGGTTCTGTGGACCTGTGCAGGTTCTGTGGACAGCTGCAGGTTCTGTGGACCTCTGCAGGTTCTGTGGACCTCTG